AGCTAACAGATACGGAATAAATTCTGAACTTGAAGGCTGGCATGCCCCTCTGCATGGAATTGTAAGAAAAAAAAAATCACAAAGATGAACCTATACAAGACAAATGCAGTTAAGGAAATATGGCAAGTAACAGTTACAGAGAGAAAATTTCCAGAGGATTCAGAAAAGCCTGTCTAGAACATACGTTTTGCCAAAACCAGAATGAAAGTAGATCACTTTGTGCAGATAAGGACTCAACCCTTTATACAGCATAAATTATCCTAAATCGGATACATACATTTGTAGCACCAGAATTACAGATGCTGCACACGTTTTAAAGATTTTCAGTTACAGTATGATTTGATGACTCAAAGTTATTATGACAAATCTTATAGCTAATTTTACTGAAGAGTATTTTTCTTTAGTAACCATGACACTGCCTATGTTTGCTTCTTTTTCCCTTCCTACTCCTCACCTTGCCCTTTCAGGCCTGCCTTGATACACTGGCCGCCCATGGCCACTGCAAGGCCACTTCTTTAGAAGCGAAGTCATTTAGAAGTCTTCACTTGGAAGATTTTAAACCAGATTAGCCCATGGAGCCGTCTTTAAAAAACTGTTCTACATCTCAAAATAAAATACACAATTGATCTTAATTTTTTCTTTCACCAAAACGGAACAGACAGTAACACTGTGCTAGAAGCACTTTGTGTGCACAGTGGTACAACCACCTACTCATTCTGGAGCATGGTGCACAATGGAGGGCAAGCTTTACCTACTACATGCTGAGCCACCTGAAATATACTTCCTCATCCATGTTTCTACTAAAATATGGTTAAGTTCTAAAGGGAGCTATTAGGGAGCAATTCTAAAAGATTTGCATTAGTGAGTTATGCCCTCACAAAAAAACAGAGATAGTTATGAATCAAGCAATTCCTTTGCAACATCTCAGTCTAAGTGATTAATGCAGGACTGTAATAAAGCACTCAGGAAACATATTACACCTCTAAATTACGTACAAATGTAAAAGATTCACAAAATGAAACAAAAGGATCATTACATAGTGTTCTAAACCAAACAGTAGACATCATCTCTAAAATAAATGTATCATTTAATATTATTTTCGGAGTTTGTTCGAAAATTTACCTTTCACATTAAGCTTTACAAACTCCCATATTTCAAAACATGTCTTAAATTTCAAGCAAATATTTTCAATATTTAATTACTCCTTAAGACTGAGCAGTATATTGTTACAGGTACCCTCTGGTTTCACAACACTTTAGTTTCAAGTGTACATTATAACTCCTTTCACTGAACTCATCTCTTAAAAGAGCTGTGCTTCCATGCCTTACATCAAACCTGTGCCAAATGTAAAATATTAAAAACCCTCCATGTTTTATTACTATTCCTCTCAAAACTCAATTACAGTTCATTCATGTAAAAAGGTATTCAGAATCCACACTTTTTTCTAATTACAGACATAGCTTCCTTACTGTGATTTCTTACAGATCAGACTTTGCTTCATTCGAGTAATTGTTTGCAATTAACTTTTCCCTATTTGTCTCATTTGTAAATCTTGACTGTGCCACTTACTAACCTTGTAAAAGGTAAAAACTGCAGAATTATTTAGTTCAATAAAACTTATACAGATGTATATAAAAGAATTTATGAAATAAATTCACTGTAAATTAAAGAAAAAAGTGTAGTACAAAAGGATTGCAAGACTGATCCTTTTTTGTGGACAAACCCACAAAACCTGAACTTTCAGTTCTAATGTATGCCACTATACTGAAACAGTCTACATACACAAATTGACATCAGTGATTAAAAAAGTGCTCTCCTGGCATGTCTATAACTTACACATTTGGCAACTATTAGCACATAGGGAACATGTCAATATGTTTCAGACAAAAGCTAATAATTAAAGATATTCTAACTTTAATAACTTTTTTTGGTACAAAAATAGTCCTTAAGGCAAACTTCAGCCAATTAAAGAACCATTATAATTCGTCAGAAGGAAATGTACTTTTTTAGAAAGAATTTTAAATCCTTCCAAAGACAATTATTTAAAGATTTTAAACCATAGCAACAACAGGTTAAGTAAAGACACTGCACACATAACAAATAACTCTTCAGCCATCCAATGTTACACAAAAGCACCTAAAATGGAGATTAAATAACCCAGTGAACCTCCATTACTCAAACAGCAGTAACTAGTTAAACAATTTAATATTTTTATGCTAGATTCATTACTAAATACTCTGCTGCATTCTTTAAAATAAATAATTGCTTATCTTCCTCTAATTTTTACCCAGTTAGCAAAATCAAAAGAAGAGACACAAATTTTAGAAAAACCTACAATTTTAAAAGCAGATTGCTCAAGAGTTATGTAAGCAGCCCCGTTTGAGGTAACACACAGCAGGAAAAGCTAGAAGGCCCATCAAGATTATTCCTCAAACTGCAGCTTCAGCAGCTGCATATTTCCATTTAACTTAGTGATCAACTTTCACATTCAGAAAAAAATCTCTTCTATAACTTCCCCCAGAAACTTCCATTAGCTACAGATGAGTAGGAAAAGGTGAAAATAAAATCCAGTAATTACAAAACGCTTGTTGAGTGAGGACCAAAGATGATGACAAAGATCTCTAGTTTTCTGAGAAGGTTTTGGCTTTAATAAACAGACAGTGCCAAACAAAACGGATATTGAAAAAATACTTTTGTTTTCCCTCCTAAACATCTCTCGCTTACAAGGAGCCCTACCAACTTGTGTTCAAATAGCACACTGTTTCTACTACCACAAAAGAGTCCCGCATGGTGGTACAGGCAGGAGACAGAAGCAATGCAGGCAGAAGGTTTCTTCTCTTACTTTGTGACAACATAAGAGGAAAAAGGATTCTGAAAACTTTCTGTGACGTAGCAATGCTCTGTGGATCACAGCCCTACACAGCTTTGGCAGAATAGCAAAAAGCCTACTGGTAGCTAGCATCTTACTACAGTCCCTGAATTTACTTTCATCAAAAGAAATATAGCTTTGAGAACCAAAACATAATACTAAAAAAAAAAAAAAAATTCAAATTTACTATACACTTTACCATCATTTAGTAATTACAAAAAAAAAAAAACCAAAAAAAAAACCAAAACAAAACACAACCTCCACAGCACTTCAGAAGCAGGGGTCACCTAACTTGTAGAAAACTGCAGCTATTTATACGAACTATTTGAAGAAAGGCAAGTTTTAAATTCATAAACTGTTTTAAAAACTAATATGCAAAATAAGACAGAAGATTTAAGAAAATATTTTTCAGAGACTTATGAAGAAAGGATTAGAACATAAGAATCTCCTTCTCCCCTCCCATGGATGATTACTATTCTGTTTTTCTGTTTCCAACCCTAATTATGAGGATGGTTATGAGAGAATTTGTTGGGTTTTGGCATGTAGTACGCTTATTTTTGGTCCATCTAAATTCCACTAAAATCTTTTCATGTAGTAAAAAAGACATACCACTAATTTTCTACCATTTTTTTAAATTGCAACTTAAAAATACAGCTCTTCATGGCATTTCCTCATCTTATCCTTTATGTTCTCAAACGCAGTATTTACCACTTCTAGAAAACGAAGAAGAAAACTAATTCCCTGCCTTGTTCTCAGTAAAGTACAGTACATGATGTTTCCAGGGTTCCTTCCCACAACAAAACAGAGTTCCTGCATCTCTTATTTCTTGCAAACAATAGGGTTGAAGAAAGCCCTTTATCTTGTCATAGGCAATTAAAAACTGTTGTCATCAGTTCTCATCGGTGTAACTGTATCAGCAACCAGTGTAACATCCTGCCTCTACTTCGTCGTCTGGTACTGTGCAGGATCTAGGAGCACCTAGCAGTAGTAGCTTGTCTGTGTATAAGGGAGTCACACAGCTACTGACAAGCCCACACAGGCACTCTGCCTTCAACTGGGAAATAAAAATACAAACTGGCACACAACCCTTGAAATTGTATCAACTCCTACAGTAAAACACATGTCGTAATTGATACTAAAATCAGCTATTCTGAGTGTAAGACATCTGTACCTGGGACATATCCTGATTCTAAAGCTATGTGTTGTTTGCATATACCATTGACTCTGACTTTTCCCATAAACCTGATTCCTTGAAATAAATGAAAAGATGTATTTTGGAATAATCCTTCAAGTTAAAACAACAACTATATCTGAACTAAAGCAGAGATCTTGTCCAGAAAAATCTATTTGAAGCATACAGGACCTAAATACACTTTTTTTAAACACTATTTTTCATCTGAACTTACGAGATCATTTTAATGAAAGCTCAGTAGATTAAATTAAAATCCACTTTCTGCTTGCTAAGCTCCATTATTCAAGAATTGTGAGCAGTTTCTACAGCTTTGCAAAGAGGCCAGAATGCCAGCCATAAAGTCAAAATCAGAAGAAGATGTGGGCAACAGCAGCTATTCAATGGCAGCTCTTCTGCACTTCAATTACATTTCTGCACTTACTAAAACACCATTCAATAGTTTGTTGGGTTTTTTTACGTCTGTTTCAGGTAAGAAACAGGTAAGAAACATCAAACCCTTTCATGAGCTCCATTAATGGAGGTAACATTAATAAATTTTTAAAAAAGTAAATTCCTCATAATCCACATTTCAGCTCATAACACTGTTAATTATGCTAATTTAATTACTTTTAGGATGCTCCCGCAGATTTGAGATAATTAAATTACTAGTATGTTTATCTTTCTGACCGGCTCTAAAACATTGACAATTCACCCTGACAAGCAAAAATTAATTCTCATGTGTTAGAAAAACAGATTATCTTGGTTATTTACCTCTTAATCCACAGTGTAAATGTGTTTGGCAGGTCAGTAAGTAAACCAAGTCAATATTTCTGACATAATGTTTCCCCTGAATTAGTTTTTGTTTGTTTTTTTAAAAAGCATATTTTCATTGCTATAATCACAATGAAAAAAAGTGATTAAGACGGAACTTGAACTCCTTATGAGGTCAGAGCATCAAACCTACCTGACTAGATTTTCATTGTCTCCAGTCCCTTTGCAGGTAGCACATTCAGTCCTTAAATCCTCTGACTTGGGCTTCTTTTGTAGAACAGATTGCCGTTGTCTTCTTTCTCTGGGAATCCGTTCCTGTTATAGCAAAGGACAAAAGAAAGGAACGGGGGAAAGGAGGGAAGGAAAGCAAATATTTTCAATTATAGCACTGAAAGCAACACTTTAGCCCAAAGTTAAATTTTTTTGTGAAACTGTTAACAAAAAAAAAAAAAAAGCCAAAACAAAACACTATATTCCAACCTCAGGTTTTTCTTCTTCAGGCACAAAGCTTCGTTTTCGTCCTCTAGTTCTCTAGAAGAAAATATATTTAAAATTCAATATTGGGCAACAGAATGTTTTTGCTCTTTATCTATTATTCATAACAACAACAAAAACATACCACAGGAAATAATATAAAGCATTAACTACAGAACCACTGCAAGACAACTACAATAACCAATGTTAGAACAACAGCTTTAGATTCTGGATATAAATCTACAGACCTACCCAAAAAGTAAATATAAATACATGTGTTGACTTGGGCATGTGGAATCTTATTCTAAAAAAACACTGCTTCCAGAATTACAAATCCCTTACACACTTTGCACAAAATTCCCAATTCTAAAATGCATAATTTGAAAATTGATATGAATAGTATACTACAGTAACTTCCTTGAGCACTTAGAAATGCTCTATTTTTAAGCCAAATGATCATATTCAAAAAAAAAAAAGTTAAAAAACTTCATCAAAACTGAAACAGAAAATAATTTGTACAGCTTTTGAGAATTACGCGAGAATTAAAGCTTTCTAAATAAAGCTTAATATAAAGGGTACATGGCAGATGCTCATAAAGCTGTAGCATGTACCAACATATGACCGGTACACAACTGATGGAGTGGGTAATACAAAACATGCAAATTACTTCAGTATTGCAGCTGGCCAAAAAATCTAAATACCAACAGTGGGGAGGAAAACAGGTTTCCACGGACTGTAACAGCTTAAACACCAAAGGCTTACAAGCAGCTCTAAGTAACTGCACACAACTCACATGAGTCCAGTTTCAATCACTAGGTTTTTGTCTCTGAAATAGCAGCACTATAACCTGCATGAGTTAAATCCCTGCCACAAGATGACAATATCACACTCTCTCCAGCTTGGTTAACAAGGAAAGAAAATTAGAAAGTGTGGGGAAGGAGATGAAAAACATCAGACTATTCCACTAACCTACAATGTCTGACACATTGTCATAAAATAAATAAATAAACAAACAAAGTTTAAAATTATTTTCTGGGAGGAAATCACCATCTTAGGAAGCCATTTGTCATATGGTAAAAAAAGAGCAATGCCTACTTTATTATTTCTTAAAATTTTTTTTGAGGGAGCTAGTATTCATCACAGAAAAAGTAAAAACTAGCTGATCAAAAAAATTTTAAACCAGCTGAGAATCGGAAGCAGCCATAAATCCAATTCTGAAGAAGCTAGTAATATCATGTTTCTCCTGTTTGGGGTCCTCTTTGAAGACGATTTATACTAGTTTCAAATTAAGACTGTTCAATGTTTTAAACAGGATTACACATTTCAATATAGTTATACTGTAAATAAACCTGCCACTTCAACACATCTGTACCTTTCTACCTATGCAGATCTTGATCTGTTCATGTTAATAGCACGCTGTTTGGGAAGGATTTTGGTTTTAGGCAAGAGTTAACTCTGTAGTAGAAAGGAATGTAGTAGAATGGAACAGGCACTAGCCTATTTTGTGCCTCTTTACTTAATACGTTAATTACCATTGAGATTTTCTTTCTCATTTCCCTAAAGATGATTTATATAAAAAAAAAATCTATTCATGTCAATATTTACTATACATTTAATAATTCAGCTATGATTGAAGTGTTCTACCTTCCACAAGCCACACAGTAGATACCTAAGTGTCCAAATCTGGAAGAATCGATTTATTACAGGTAACTAAATTTATCAATAAAGTATTAGACGTATAATGCAATTGGGGCTATATGTCAACTACATGTTACACAACCCAAGGTCACTGTAAATTAAAACTAGATGAAAAAAAGTTCGATCAGACATCAGCACATTAACTGTCAATTTCACTACTTTTAACCTCGGGCATTAGAATCATAGAATGGTTTGGGTTGGAAAGGACCTTAAAGATCAGTCCCACCCCCCCTGCCATGGGCAGGGTCACCTCCCACTAGCCCAGGTTGCTCAAAGCCTCATCCAGCCTGGCCTTGAACCCCTCCAGGGATGAGGCATCCACAGCTTCCCTGGGCAACCTGTTCCAGTGCCTCACACCTTACCAGGAAATAAATTCTTCCTAATGTCTAATGTAAATCTTCCCTCTTTCAGCTTAAAACCATTACTCCTTATCCTATCACCATACTCTTTGATAAAGAGTGTTTCCCCATCTCTCCTGTAGGCCCCCTTCAGGTACTGGAAGGCTGCTATAGGGTCCCCCTGGGGCCTTCTCTTCTCCAGACTGAACAACTCCAACTCTCTCAGCCTGTCCTCACAGGGGGAGCGTT